CAACTACACTGCTTCAGTGCTTGTGAGAGAGTGTGCTTGCACAGCTCCTGAGGAAGTCTCCATGCTTCAGGATTCTTTGCAGTAGGAGCTGGCCTAATTAAATAAAATAATGAATGAGTTTGGGCACTGAGAGGAAGTAGTTTAAAGCACAGAAGAGAATAGTTCATTGTAGTTGAGCTAATTTTATTATAACAGTCTGGAATAGCAAAGAACATGCCAATTTAGCTGAAAATGCTCATTAGTTTAGTAAGCAGAAAAGTAAGGACACTCATTATTAATGGCATCATCCCCAAATATAATTATTACCACTTAGGTACAAAAAATAATTCTCGCACATTCAGCCATATTAAGAGGTTTTAAGTTTAAAAATGATGTTATTTCCTGTGAAATGTTTAAAAATATGTAAAGGAATATGAGTTAAATTATGTGAGAAAATACTTCTTTCTGAATGTGTAAAATAGAATTAGTGTTAACTAGAAACAGAAGCTGTCTTTCAGAGCTTTCTGGGAAAGTGTATATAGTTGGTATATACATTTGCCAGCATTTTCTACAGCCAGCTCTTTTGTCTTCAACAAGAGTGACGCTGATGGCTGCAAATGAGCACTTTATTACAAGTATCTTTGGTTCAAAGAAAAAGGTTTTTTCCATTTCTTATGATGCCATACAGTAACTTGAACACTACTTAAAACAAAAAATTTACCCATTAATAATTTAAATATTTACAAAATTTCAGCAAAAGCTGCTTCATTATAAAGCATCAAAGCCCATTAACTGTGGTATCCAATTATCTGTGATGATGGGAAAACTAATAAAAGGGAAAAAAATTCCTAAAAGCCACTTTCTTGATGTGCACACATATCCCAGCCCTAAGAGAACGTGAATGCTACTGTTACATGGAAAGACAGACAGATGCTTTGATGTCCCAGGAAGGTCTCTGGATGGCAGTGAACTCTTTAAAAGTGATTTTAGCCATTTGTGTTTCTTCTCTTGAGAACTCCCTATTTATATCTATACTCCACTTTTTAATTGGGTAATTTTTATTTTTAATTGGGTATATTTTAGTATTTTCCTATGCCGATGAGTTCAAGCCTGTTCCCCACATTCTTTTTACCAGATTCAGGTGTCTGGTTTAATGTTGAGGTCCTTAATCCATTTGTATTTGAGTTTTGTACAGGGTAATAGAAATGGATCTATATTCATTGTGTCCCCTTAGTTTGAGTATGTGTGTTTTAATTTTCATTCAATTCTAAAAATAATTTAATATCTTTCTTAATTTCTGTCTTAACTCAATTTTCAATCAGCTGTGAATTGTTCTGTTTCTCCAGCACCCTATGTGGCTTAAAATCTTAAAACCTCATAGTATATGGTTCATTTTATTTTACTTAACTTCATATTATTTTATTTTATTTTTCAGACAAGGTCTCACTATGTAACCCTGGCTGGCTTAGAATTTCGTTATAGCTTAGGCTTGTTTGGAATTCACAGAGATCCATTTGCCTCTGCCTCTTGAGTGCTGGGATTAAAGAAATGGGTCATATATCATTTTATATCTCTTTTTTTCTGTTTATAAATCATGAAACCAGATTTCCTTCTCTTCAGTTTTAAATGTGTGTTAAATGTGGTGTGTGGTCAAAGGGTAGGTAGATAAAAGTGTAATTTTTCTCTACTATAAATGGATGTATTATGATTTTTTTTACTGATTCTTTGTGGATTTCACTTTATGCATTCTGATCTCACTTATCTCCACATCTTCTTGAATCTGCCCGTGTACGCTCCAATCAAAACCAAATTCAAAAGATCCTTCCCCCACCTAATCCAAACAAAATAAGAAAAGAAAACAAAAACAGACTGAGTCTTTTTTTTTCTAATTAAATATGTCAGTCATCTATAACTAATATATATACAGATGGACCTAAAATATTTTGGTATGAAAAGGAGGAATTTAGTCACAAGGAAGAGTTTCATATGGCCTGAGGCAAGAACATTTGCCTATCAAATAGACTAGAAGGGAAGGACCTGGCCACAGGTCACCTATACAGGTGGGTAACCAACTAGGCTTTGACTCCAGGAAGGTGGCAATATGCAACATGGCTTAAATAAACAAAGTGGCATTTGAACTGATTCTTAAATGATGAGTATAATTGAATAGGAAAGAATAGTGGGAATTATGCTACTTAAACTGGTAGAAAAAAATTGAGGACAGAGATAATTACTATAGATTTAACAGTGCAACTGAAAGGTGACTATACAAGATCTAAGAAGAGAAATAGGCTAAGAGTGTCAGACTGAAGAGACAGAACTGACTCTAGCATGAGGACAAACACTCCCTTTGTTAGTAAAAATTAAAAAAATGGTTCTTACAAAAGGTGTCAAATTATTTATATATAATTAAATGAATATAGTAAGAAACACCAAATCTAAAATGCCAGACAATTCTGCCTTGGTTTATCCATGACTGAAAACTCTTTAAGTAAAAGCCAATATATATGAATAAACCATGGTGATTTGCTATTATCTCTTCCTATTTTTCATAATATATATAAAAACCAGATGAAACAAAGAGATACAAGAAGGGCTAAGGTTTCAGGTCAGTACTAGCTTGATTTCTCCATGTTCTATCACTTAAATACGAGTTGTCTTCAACAACAGGGTCAGACTGTCAAGTTCTGGAGGGTAACCAATAGCACTATCATTAGGATATGAGCTTTTGGGTCTATGGAATCTCACTGGCCAACAACTACAAAAGGACTACATACTCCTGACTCTGGCTTTTTCTTGTCTTTTCTTTTAAAATTTCCAGATTTATTTTATTTTGTGTTTTGCCTGCATGTATGTATGTGCACCACAGGTTACCTGGTGTACACAGGACCAGAAGAAGCATTAGATCCTTGCATGGTGGTGAGATACCATATGTGTGCTGGGTTCCAAACCTAAGTCCTCTGTAAGAGCAGTAAGAGCTCTTAACCACCAAACCATCTGTTTGCAGATGGTATCTGTGGTATCCAGTAGGGGCAGTGCGGCCCCATCATAGGACTACTCCATTGTAACTCTTTTTATGTATGTTATACACATATTTTAAGAAGCTTTTACAGTGGTTGCTTTCTAGTGTCTTTTCCCAAAGGATTTTAGTGTTATTTATCCCTCCCAGGATTTCCTCCTCCACTCTGCTCTCCCCTCCTCCACTCCAGTTTAACTCTTCTTATTCCAATACTCCCTTTTGACCCTTTACAACAGTACAGCCATCCCTTCTAGCTACATGTGGGTCACTGTGACCCAAACTGGCCAAAGTACAGAGAACAAGAGAATGCTGAATGGTCAGCCCATGGAACACAAATACCTCAACTCCTTCTCTCAAGACTGAGATCATTGCAGAGAGGGGTGCAAAGGGTGGAAGAGCCAGAGCCAGAACATAATTGCATCAAAACAGTGTCTCTGGACAGAGCAGAGCAGCTACACATATGAACTCACAACAGTTGTGATGGGATGTGCAATAACTGTGCAAGCCCAAGAAAGACCAGATCTTAGCATGGAGAGGGGAGCTGGTCACGACGTCTCATGCCTACTATTGGTAACTGTTGGCTGCTGAGATGTAAGTGTGGCCCCTGTGAAGTAGACCATGCTCCATGGAAGCTCACATTTCTGACTATATCTGAGAAGCACAAAATACTTTTGACAGGTTTAAAAAAAAATACACCGTAGAATGAGTAGGACATGGAGGAGGGGACCTGGGAATAGTTGGAGGATGGGGGATGAATATGAACAAAACACTGAACAGATTAAAAAAGAACTAATAAAATATTCTCTTAAATTTACTTGTAGCAAAAATAAAACTAAAGAACAAGAGAATAATTGAAGAAATAAATCTCTGCTCTATGCTAAATTTTTTTTACTGTTAAAGCACTTTAGAAGGTATTTAAAGATTAACAAGCTCCCTTTACATGCTTTTTGGAGTGTTGGAAAGCACGGAAAATCCAGTCTTTTAAAAGGGCAAAGGGCTGAAAATCGGTGTAATTGGCACCAAGGCTGCCCCGAGGATATTTCTACCAATTAGGGACCTGCACTGGAATAGCAGGATGACGAAGAGAAGCTTGTCCTCGACCGTCTCTACAGAGCTGGGGCAACCATGACTACCAAAAGCAAAGCGCTGGAAGCTGTAACCCCGAGAAAACATGTACAATAGTACCATCCAGCAACAAAGAAGGATGATCTCAGCTCCAAACAAGGACGGACAGACAGACAGAACTGGAAGCTAAAAGGCTAACTGTTATAGTCTTAAGTTCTACATTTGGAGATGTGTGAAATGAGGAAATATTACCTCTATGAGATTTACCCTTAACCACAAACTGTTGAGAACCACAGATTAAGGTGACACCAAACTGAATTCACACACTAACATTACAAAACCACAGGGAATTAAGTAACCAAGAGTACATGCACCAGAAGAAATAATAGCAGAATTAGAACCCCATTAATATTAACTATATCAGTAAGTATCCAATGTAAAAATTATAAAATCAGGAAACTGAAATAGGACTATGGAAAGATTTATTTAAAAGAAACCAAATATAATTTAGGACAATAAAATAAATAATTCTTTAGATAAAACACCAAGCATGAAAGAGATATTTATTTAAAACAAGATTTTTAAACAATTGAGGAAATGATTAAAAATTACTAGATGATGAATCATTTTTCTTAATTTTGATTAAGTGTGATAAATGAAATTGTAGCTATTTATGTCATTTGTACATTCTAAAATATAATACAATGAGTTTTAAAATGTGTCATCAAAGGAAAAAAAAGAATTAATGAAGTCAATGTAGGAAAATGTGGAAAACATTAAATCTGTGTGATATAAAATTCTAAAAATAAAAAGAAAACGAAAACCCACTGGATAGTTAAATACAACTGAAGAGACAATTTGAGTATTGTAAGATGGCTCTGAAATGAGTATCCATACTGAACATAAAACCTTCACCATTAAGCAAACCAAAGCTCACCTTCCTTTGGGCTGACAGCAGCAGGAAGGCTGTTCCAGTCAAGGGTCCAAGAAGGACAAGGGTGTGGAGAAAACATCGCCTCAATGCCTTTTTCCTAAAAAGGGAAGGAAGCTTAATAAAATCTGTTTTCAAAGGAATAATTTCTATTTCATGCACTGACAAAGATAATTAAAATTAAAATTAAAATTAATCGTATGTGGACCAAAATATTTAGTTCCATAAGAAAATAGAAAATGTTATAAAAAATGTCTGTTCAAAATATTATTTTGAAATCAGCATATTGCTATTATTTTTTATTTGAAGTAATAAAAAAAGTAATGCTGAAAACATGTAAAAGTAGTAAGTCAACAAATATACTAGGTCAGGAATAGAGAAACAGTTAAAAGCATTAGTTACTCTTGCAGAAAACCTGGATTTGGTTCCAAACACCCACATGGTGGCTCATAGCTATCCTTAACACTACTTATAGGAAAGCCAATGTCTCTGAATTCCTCTGGTACCAAATAAGTATGTGGTGCACATACAAATACACACATATATATAAAACACCATACACATAAATAAATAAATCATATACATATATGGTATAATAAAGTCACTTGAAAACAAAATAAATTTATAGAGATAAAAAGAAACCTGACATTCCATAGCTCATCAATGACATGAAAAAACACTTATTTAAACTGTAAGCTACTTAAAAACTCAACAAAATTCACAACCCAGAATGTCACCTTATCAGTTTATCTGATGGTAGTATCTCTAATAGATTCTAAAATTTTAGAGACAAACTGTATTTTTTATTCATTAAATTGTCTTTTAGGGTTCTTTCCTATATTAGAAATCATGTATCTATAGCTAGGCATGGTGAAACACTGCTTTAATCCCAGCACTTGGATCAGGAAATGAAGGCTAGCCTGGGTTACATAAGACCCATCTCAAACCAATCAATAACCAACCAAACATTGTAAATGTATTATTTGCTCTATAGACAGTGACATGACACATATACAGATTTATAATATTCCAGTCACAAAATGTACCAAATCCTACAACACAGATGACCACAGTTCAGATATCATCTCTAGGGAGCCTATAAAAGAAAACACAGCACCAGGCATGGTGGTACTCATCTCTAAGTCTCAGCACTAAAAAGTCTGAGATAGAATAGCTTCAGCCCACAAGTGAGGCCAGAGTAGTCAACATTAAGAACCCTCACCTGTCTCAAGAAAAAATAAAACATAACAAGTAAAATACAATAAAAATTAATGATAATTCACCTTTAACTATCTAGTAACAGTTATTCATGAGATTACTTTCCATTATGAAAACTAAATTGAATTTGGGTCCCAAAAGAAAAAGAGAATACTAATTTTACTAGGGATACAGATATAACTATAGATCTAGAAATCAAGTACTAGTTTCTAGAAGAATAAACAACACATCTCTCTGAATCACCTATCTCATTTCTATTACCTTTACTCTGATTTTGCTATTACTCATTTCCAATCTTATTCCTGCTTTAGGGTCTTTTGAAAAACTACAACTATATTGAGATACTACTTGTACACAACAAAATGTAACTTCCTCAAGTATACACACTTTAGAAAATGGTGTAGGAAGTTCAAAAAGCAGAGTTTAACAGAGTTTTTTTGCTTCATTTGCTTGTGGTTTATTTAAGAGAGGTCTTCCTGATTAGGTGATAGCAAAACAAACAAACAAACAAACAAATAAAAAAGCGCAGTTTCTGAACAGCAACTTCCTGAGTCGTACTGCCAGCACAAACTCTGTCTCTTTCAGGAGGCCGAGCATTTAAATGGGTATGTAAGCAACGTGTTCCAATCTGCTTACTGGCTCAACATGGACCCTCTGCATACTTGGAACTAGGATGGTGTGCACAGCTTGCAGAGGCAGTGAACATGCCTCTGCCATGTTGGACTGGGTGGAGCAAGCAGGCAGGGCTATACTGGCCCCAGCCACACCCACTTAGCATTAAAAAAAAAGGATGCTTCTGGTAGGAAAATAATTACAGATACAAAATAAAGACAGATTCAGATTTTAAAAAAAAAACCTCTAAATGAATCGCAGTGTTGGATAAATGTATGTAGGCTTGGGAGAGAAAAGAAAAAGAGTACAGAGAGTAATAAAAAGAAGTAAATCATTAAAAAAAACAAAGTCTTTAAAGAGACAGTAAACTTGTAGAAAAAGTAATAGAATAAGAAAAATAAGCCATGTAAAGAGGGATTATACACAGAGAGTCTGGATTATATAAACTATAGTATTTTCTTTAAATTATTTGTGAAGGAGCTAAGTACAGAGAGTCATTTCATTGTATGGACTGCTAAGCTAAACCAACATATATATTTTAGAGGTATCTTAATTCCAGATTTTGGGTCTAAGGATTTGCTACTTTGGAAAAGAGGTTCTGCTTTTGTTTCCACAGAGGATGACAACCTGTGGAATCCTTCCAGACTAATGTGGTTTGATAGACCAAGAACCCATAAAAGGTCGCCATAAGTGTCCCCCCAAATTATTTCACTCAACAAAAACAGGAAGCGTTTTGGAAAGAACTATGCCCACATTCCCTAAATGATTGTTTATAAATGTTTGTGTATATTTAAAGGGGGATATGCTATAGAGATTTGCATTGGTATGATACAAATTTAAGATCGATCTTATTATATATATATGTGTGTGTGTGTGTGTGTGTGTGTGTGTGTGTGTGTGTGTATTTCTGCTCTTGATTAAGGTATTTTATTTGTGCATCCCATTTAAAAATGTAATGTATAATTAAGAAATATAAATTAATAGATAACCATATATAATAGTCAAGTTTGTAGTCATGTTAGTTAGGTTTTCTAGATAAATAGAGACATATTTCAGTTAGATAGGTATTCTTCAAGTATTTCAAAGACCTTCAGAATATGGCATTTAAAATATTTTAACAACTTAGGGCTTTTCATGACAATGAAACACATCTGCTCCTGGCAACACCAATCTACTTCAACAGGATGATAGGCATCAAAGAGGTTCCTCATGGAGTTTGTTAGGCATTTGGGCAAGAAACTGCTCTTTCCTGGACTGCTTGATGTTATGCTATATGAACTGGACATGCAGGACCCAAGAAAAATGACTGCTGAAGTTGTCTAAAGAAGGTGACAGTCCTTCACGGATTCTGATTCATGAAAATGTCTGTCAGACATTCTGCAGGACACAGAAAGTGACGGACAAACTGCCAATATAGGTGGAACTGTCTTTGAAATTTCTTGCTTCATGGAAAAGTCTGCTGGATACTATGGGCCTGTAGGCCGAAGATAGATGCCCCAATGGTACAGAAAAACTTTGGGTGATTGTCCATGCAGTGACATATCTCTGTCAATTCTAGAGTTTGGATGTTGCTTACAATGTACTTCCTGTTTACTTAGGTAATATTATGTCCTTCTGGGGTCTTTGATGGAGTTGAAGAATAGACGGTCAGTTACAGTTTTCCTTACTTATGTAAGAGATAAAGTAGATATAAATATTGTAACTATAATTCTTGCCAGATAACTGTTTTTATATGTACTTTTACTTTGTTAAAGTTAATACTTTCCTTTTTATTTAAACAGAAAAGGGGAAATGGTGTGGGAGGTCCTTCTCCATATGTGTTGCTTTTATTGGTTAATGAATAAAGAAGCTGGCTTGGCCTGTGATAGGGCAGAGTAGAGACAGGGGTGGGCGACTAACTGAATGCTGGGAGAAAGAAGGCAGAGTCAGTGAGAAGCCATGGAGCTGCCAGAGGAGAAAGAAGAGAGAGGCCAGCCAAAATCTTACCTGTAGTCATGAGACTTGTGGTAAAAGATAAAATAATAGCAATGGGTTAAGATATAAAAGTTAGCCAGAAATACGCTTTTAAGTTATTGGCCAAACAGTGATTCAAATAATATAGTTTCAGAGTGATTACTTTGGGAGTCTAGGTAGCCAGGAAATGAATAAGCAGCCTCCCCAACAACAGAAAAGTAAATTGAGGTATTAATTTTTCTATATTTTTAATCTTTAAATATAATTTAATGACTTATTTAAATTCTATTTCTTTAAATCTATTTATTTAAATTTAACTTTAAATCATCATCTTAAATTTAAAGACTGAAATCTTCCAGAACAATAAAGGCTATTGCCATTGGCCTTGGCTACATCCCAGAACTTAATGGCAAGACCCAATTGTTAAAGACACCACATATGTCAGAGACAGGATTTGGATGAACTGGACTAAAATGACCTGAAAGCTTTAACAGTATCTATAGGTACCATGCAAGCTACCAAGGGAGAAAAGCAATCAATAGTTCTTCTGAGCAGTAAAGGCTATGAACCACAAAAATGACAAGCATGGATGATATCCACAAACGTGCGATAGTGGAGTCTTCATCCTATGGTTAACCAATAGCTATCTAGTTGGACTTAAGACCTGCTTACTGGAGGGAAGAATTCATGCCTAGTACTGTAAACATAGCCAACTACCTATGTCTGTTGACGTCATGGACCCTAAGGAGAACACACTACTGCCTAACTCAATTCTAAATACTTAACCTTAAACTCACAGATAAGGGTAGCCTCACCCCAACCAAAAATGCTTCTGTTTGCAGCAATGAAAATTACTGCAAAAATCCACAAATGGTCAAAATGCAAAGAGTAAGAAAGAGTACATTATGTGCCAAGCCCAGCTGATACAAATATAACACAAGGCCTAAGGTTCAGGGAGCATTAAAGAAAGTACAGATTAAAACATCCAGGGGGCTAGTATGTTTTCTTCAAGATAGTGTCTTCAATATATGGCAAAGAAACTGCTCCCATGAAATTATTATGCCAACTTCAGATTAGGGAAATACTACATGACACTATCACTAGATGAAAACTTATAGGCAGTTACAGCTACTGAGAGAGAACCAGTCTGCCTCAAAAAAGCAGTCCCAAAAGTACCCTACAACAGATGGGCACAGGCGATCGCTTCCTATGTATAACCCCAGCAGCACAGACATTAAGGGCAACATTGAATAAATGGGACCTACTGAAACTGAGAAGCTTCTGCAAAGCAAAGGACACTGTCACTAAGACAAAAAGGCAACCCACTGACTGGGAGAAGATCTTCACC